AGGATTTTTGTTTTCTTTATATTGAGTGGTAATCCATACTCCAGAATGTAGCCTTCAATCTTCATCAGTAAGTGCTTTAAGTCATCCCCACTTTTTGGCAAGTAAAGTTGTGTCGTCAGTGTATTGCAGGTTGTTAATGATTCTTCCTCCAATCCGGATGCCATGTTCTTTTTCATATAGTCCAGCTTCTCAGGTTATTTGCTCAGCATACAGATTGAATAAGTATGGTGAAAGGCTACAACTCAGACACATTCCCTTCTTGCTTCTGAACCATGCACTATCCCTTGTTCTGTTCGAACCACAGCCTCTTAGTCTATATATAGGTTCCTCATGGGTACAAATAAATGTTGCAGAATTTCCATTCTTCTCGATGTTATCCATAATATGTTATGATCCACACAATCAAATGTTTTTGCATAGTCCATAAAAGACAAGTAAACATCATTCTGGTATTCTTTGCTTTCAGCCAAGATCCATCTGACATCAGCAATGATACCTTGTTCCACATCCTCTTCTGAATCCAGTTTGCATTTCTGGAAGCTCTGTGTCAATATACTGCTGCAACCATTTTAAGATTTTACTTGTGTGTGATATTAAGGATATTGTTCAATAACTTCCACATTCTTTGGGATCACCTTTCTTTGGAATGGGTACAAATATGGATCTCTTACAGTTGGTTGGCCAGGTAGCTGTCTTCCAAACTTCTTGGCATAGCCAAGTGAGTGCCTCCAGTGCAGCATCTGTTTGTTGAAACATCTCAATGGGTATTCCGTCAATTCCTAGAGCCTTGTTCTTCTCCAATTCCTTTAATGTAGCTTTGATTTCTTCCTTCAAAAACATTGGTTCTTGATCAGAGATCAAGATGTTTACTTGTGTTTTTTTGACTATGCCAAAGCATTCAATTGCGTGGATCTTAACAAATTATGGATAACTTTGAGAAGAATGGGAATTCCAGAACACTTAATTGTATTCATGAGGAACCTATACATAGACCAGGAGGCTGTTGTTCAAACAGAACAAGGGGATATTGCATGGTTTAAAATCAGGAAGAGAATGAATCAGGGCTGTGTCCTTTCATCATACTTATTCAATCTGTATGCTGAGCAAATAATTGAGAAGCTGGCCTATGTGAAGAAGAACTTGGCATCAGGATAGGAGGAAGGCTCATTAACAACCTGCAATACACTGATGACACAACTTTGCTTGCCAAAAGTGAGAATGACTTGAAGCACTTACTGATGAAGATTAAAGGCTACAGTCTGGAGTATGGATTTCCTCTCAATATAAAGAAAACGAAAATCTTCACAACTAGACCTATAAGCAGCATTACGACAAATGGAGAAAAGATTGAAGTTGTCAAAGACTTCATATTACTAAGTTCTATAATCAACACCAATGGAAGCATCAGTCAATATATCAGATAATGTAAAGCATTTGGGAAATCTTCTGCAAAAGAACTCTTTCAGGTGCTAAATAGCAAAGATTTGTCCTTAAAGACTAAGGTGTGCCTGACCCAAGCCATGGTATTTCCAATCTCCTTATATACATGTGAGAGCTGGACAATGAATGAGAAGACTGAAGAAGAGTCCATACTTTTGAGTTGTGATGTTGGCGAAGAATACTGAAAGTAAAATGGACTGCTAAAAGAACGAACAAATCTGTCCTGGAAGAAGTACATCCGGAACGTTCCTTGGAAGCTAGTGTGGCCAGACTTCATCTCATCTACTTTGGTCATGTACGAAGGAACCATTCCCTGGAGAAGGATATCATATTTGATAAAGTGGCAGGTCAATGAAAAAGGCAAAGGCCCTCAACAAGATGCACTGACACAGTGGTTGCAACAATGAGCTCAGGTATAGCAAAGATCATGAGGCTGACCCAGGACTAGGCAGTGTTTCTTTCTCTTGTATATACCACCACTATGAGTCAGAGACAACTCGATAGCACCTACCAACAACCACAACACATAGACACACACAAATCTACAAAAAAAGTTAGAGAAATAAATTAAAAAATTAATCTGACCAATTTTTTCTCAAACAATGTGATGATCACTTTCTATGTCAATAGATACCTATACATAATTGTTTAAAGCTTCTTATAATATGAGTCGGGGCCGACTTGACAGCACATAACAACAACAATAACAACAATAATTCAAAGTGTGCTCTGGTGGTGTAATGCCTAAGGCTTTTGACTGCTAATCAGAAGACTGGTGGTTCAAACCCACCTGCCACTCTGTGGAAGGAAAACTGGGTAATCTACTTCCATAAAGATCAACCATCTTGGAAACTCAAAGGGGGTCGCTATAAGTCAGAATCCACTTGATGGCAATGGGTTTGTTTTTTGTTTGTTTATAATTCTAATTTATTAATTGACCTGGTTTTTGTTTTGATTGCCATTTATCAACCTTATAAGCAGTGATGGTGAAATTGATTTCTTATTCAGCACATAACAACAACAACATTCATTCCTCACATGCTCTAAATATATATATATATAAAGCTTCATTATTGTATTTACCTTCCTCAGCTTCAGAGGCCTCAGCTAGTTTTATAACTCTTTTCAAGGTATTTTATAATCTGCTTCCTTCTCTTTATCTCTGGGCTGTGTCCTGTTAATGCCTGTATGCCAGAGAGTCTCCTACCTAGAAATGAGATGCCTTTAGTCTTCCCTTCTTTTGAGAATCATCTATAGTTATATAGTAGTAATTTGACTTTTTAAGATTTTCTCTTTTAGAAACTATTGCATTGGAATCATGCATAATTTTTTTATTAATTAATTGAATCTCACTTCCCTAACACAAGGTACACATCTCCAAAAACCAAAACAAAAACAAATGGTGTCAAGTTGATTCTGTCTCACAGAAACTCCTTATTTTATAGATTAGAACTGCTCATAAGGTATTCTTAGCTCTGATCTTTATGGAGGCAGACCATAAGCCTTTCTGTGTGGATTTGAACCACTGACCTTCACATTAGTGTCTAGTGCAATTTCTTTGCACCAACCAAGGACTTTGGATTGTATATATGTTTCCTTTATTCTATGATCATGACACGTAATTGTTTGTAACGGATGTTTCCACTTTGCCAACCACTTCTACTCTTTGGTAGATACTGATTTCTAATATAGTTCATTAGGAAGCTTTGTTTACTCTCTGAAACTAAATCAAGAATTACTCATATATATTCTTTTTGTTGAAGTGGAGCATCTAATGCAATTTTGGAGAGTACAAAACCTCATCACTGCTGAAGCTTATTTGTGTCAGTATTTTGTGATATGATTCAGGAAGATATCATCTACTCCTTCCATGCAATGGGGTAGCCTAAGTATGGACTGTATTATTTTAATACATTTTTCTTTCTCCTTTTAGTTTCAGTCAAAGATCTCAAAAATTCTTCATCCTTCAGTTTGTGCATTCAACAGTAGATTATGATTCATTCTCTAGTATACTAATACAACCATTCTCTTAGGAAGCCTGTTTATTTCCATCACCATATTCTAATCTTGAATGCCATCTCACCATGTCTAATGAACATTTTTGGCATAATATAGAGTTAATTGTATGTATTATTATACTTAGTTATTAGTGTGTAGAGATCTGAACAGTCTATGTCATTTCCTTTTCTCTATCCAATGATCTCTTCCCATGTCATTCCTTTTCCCACTCTGTATCTGTGCTTCTTTATAGAAGAGGTTCTCCATGAGTGTTTATTTTGCCCTCAAGGGGCCAATGGGCAATGTCTGAAGATATTTTACATTATCACAAGAAAAGTTTTACTGGTATCTAATATGTAGAAGCCAGGGATACTGCTAAACATCTTACAATACACAAGACAGTGTCTGCAACAAAGAATTATCTAGTCCAAAATGTCAATGGGGAGCTCTGGTGGGAGTAGTGCCTTAGGCATTCAACTACTAACCAGAAGGCTGGTGGTTCAAATCCACCAGCCACTCCTAGGAAGGAAGACTGGGCTGTCTACTTCCATATAAATACTGCCTTGGAAACCCAAGGAGGGGTCACTATGAGTCAAATTGACTCAGTGGTAGTGAATTTTGTTTGGTTTGGTTTTAAATGTCAACAGGGCCACAGGTGGAGATAGTGTTTTTTTTTTTTTTTTTTTTTTTTTTTTTTTTTAATTTGGACTTTCAGATTTCTCCTGCCCCCTGCCCCTACGATAATCAGTTTAATTTAATCTCTTGATTTAAGTTAGCTACTAAGTAGCAGGTAGTCCCTGAGTGGTGCAAGTATTTAATGACTTTGTCTGATAACTGAAAGATTTCAGGTTTGAATCCACCCAGAGGCCTCAGAAGAAAAATCTGGTGACCTAATTCTGGTAAAGCAATCATTGAAAACCCTATAGAGCACAGTCCTACTCTGACACACATGAGGTCCCCATGACTCAGAGTTAACTCAACATCAACTTTTTTTTTACTCAGTGCCATAAAACAGAAAGTGATTTATCATGTCTCAACCATGTTCATTCTTTGGATGGAGTGAGGCAGCAGTCATAATCTTCACCAAAACTGTTGCCCTTGTTGGTAAAGTAGTGTTTTTATATGACCAGTTAACAGTACCACAGTGACAAAGAATAGAGAATGAAGGAGAGTCAGGCATGTTTATAATTTAATAATTAAACTGTCGTCATTAGCTGTCAAGTCAGTTCTGAAACATGTGATCATGTGTTCAGAGAACTGCTCCAGAGGGTTTTTAAGGCTGTGCCCTTTTGGAAGCAGATCTCTAAGCCTGTCTTCTAAGGTATCTCTGGTTGAGTTCAAACTGTTAACCTTTGGGCTAATAGTGGTGCACTTAACTGTTTATGCCCATCCAGGGACTCAAAACATAAAACTAGAATAAATATAATGATCCTCAGATACCTCTACTCCAAATGGCAAAAGTTGTTATGAAAGTTGCATTTGCAAGTTGGCTGAGGAGAGCTTCACAGGCAGCTTAACTGTTTCTTTTTTATATTTTTTTCCTTCCTTTTTTTTTTTTTCAGATATTTCCCATTTTCAAGAACAAGATGACTTAAAGGGATTACTAGAAAATCTCCATCAAAATATTCAAGCCAAAAAAAGAAAGAATGTAGAAATCATGTGGCTGGCTGCAACGGTAAGCACTCTTACGTCCAATCATAGCCCATGCCACCATGATGTAAGCACTGTCACGTATCTATTATGCCGAATCAAAGCTTTGGACTAGGAATTACGAAGTATCTCCCTCCATTATCCAGGGAATTAGGCATTTCACTTTTGTCAGTAGTTCTATAAATAGACTAGAATATATGATGAGGAAAACTGCATTCAACAAGAAAGAATCTTACCCCATGGCTGTTCTTATAAACTCTGGTTGAGTCTGAAATTAAAATGTGGTTTTCTTGATATTGTATATTGCAATTTTCCGTACCTACTAGGTTTGAACTGCTGCTCTAAAGGCATGGTTTCAAGAGAATGTGGTTATCAGATCTCTAACTTACAGCCCAGTAAGGCTCCTAAATATATTGTTCAATGAGCCTTTAAATATGTTTGTTAATTTAGATATTGACATAGAACTTATTGCTGATGGATTGCTCTTGGAGTAATGAGCTATAATGTGTATGGCTCTTGTTTAATGACTCTCTTGGATTAAAAGAGCTGTGGGCTTTTTCACCTCAGGTTGCTACAGGAGTGAGGAACTTCTTTAGCTTTTTTCTGGCAACCATCTAGGCATAGTTCACATGAATTTATGAATTTTGCTAACCACTGAGGCCCCAAATTACTTTCAGTGGAAAGGAATCTTTTCATCAAAAAAGACATGTGTTGGAGATCTTTACGATGAATGCCATGTTTCCAGTTACTGCACAGTGTTACTCATGTAACTTGGAGGTCAGATTGACAAATCTTCTAGCATATTCCATTCATTCTTTACCAATAGCTTATAAAATAGAGCCTTCTCTTCTATTGCCAGTGCTTCAATTATAATGCAATATTATTTACTCTGTTCTGAAAAGAAGGAATAGATAATTTACCATGAGACTCTATAAAATAATTTACCAGCAGCAAGGCAAAGAAAGGGTACTTTGCTTTCCCTCCATGCCCTCTTAAAGCCCCAGGAGAGAATATCAAAGATAATAATATGAAGCATTGCTTTCTGGCTGCTCATTTACACTGGTCCCATTTAGTACCATACTGTATTACATAAAGGTTGTTTTTAATAGTTCTTTCCCCAGTGTGGATGCTCTTTGTATCTTCAAAGGCTACTGTGATTGTTAATTCTCAAAAAACCTTCTTTAAGTAGGCTGTAAGATATTTTTGCTCTTTTATTAATAAGGTGATAGTATAAAGGTAGTTTGCATATACCAAGACAAATTAAGAATACAGGAATATGTCCTTGCATACATATTGTGCAGCTATGTCAATAGATAAATAAAGGAAGTACATGTGCACACAGGAATGCATATTTTCCTTAGTAGATGCATTTTTCCCATGTGATTATATGAAAGTTTTCCCATAAATGCCATACATTTAAAAAATATTTTTTCTGAAATATACATAATGGCCATATATGGCTTGCTCACAACTCACCATTCAACATATGATCACCAGTCTTAATACATACACAATACCCATGGTGCATAAATTCAGCACTCTATAGGAATGTCAAAGGAGCTCTTGTGGTATAGTGGGTAAGTCATTTGGCTGTAGCCTTGGAAACCCAATGAGGGTCACTATGAGTTGGAATCGACTTGATGGCAGTGTTGTTTTTTTTTTTAATTGTTGTTTTTGTTATTTGCCATCGAGGCAGACCCAACTCATAGGAACATTATTATTAACAGCATTCTTATTAGCTGCTATGTTAATTTCAAGATCCTCTTTGTAAACTGATGACCTTAAAAATACTTTTAAAATGAAGACAAGTAGCAATTCCTTTTGACAGTTTCTAAAAAGCTTTTATTTATGTGTCCATTTTCTTTTCATTTTTAATCTATTTAATAAAACACTGCTTATCTTAAAATTTTACATTCTACTTGAAAAGATGAAGCTATTTGATTTTATCTTGATTGAATTTAAACAGGAAAAATGAGAATTTAAGGAGGCAAAATGCCAATCAACCATGTTGAATCAATATTCAAGTACATATAATTCAAAAGAGTTATGGAAATTAAAAAAAAAATTCAAGACCCTACCTTGATCTAATTGTCCCCACTCCCCTTAATTTTAAATCTAAACATTAAATATCCTTAGCTGCATATAATAGTGAAGTAATATTTAAAGGATATTACTTCTTTTTAAAAATTGTTATCTCATAGGTCTGAGATGTATATCTTATTGCTATGAACATAGTTAAACCTTTACAATTTTATATTAAACTTTTAATAATAATATTTAAAAATTAGAATGTTCTAGATGAAAAAGATTTCATGATGAACTCATGCTTGATGGTTCTCTAGTCATGTATAGTGGAAATATTGAGAAGGTATCAGAAGATTAAATTAATAAATAATTGTAACTCTTAGTTAAAATGTCAGAATCACAATGAAAACATGGCAAAAACCCTTGACAAATATATTATTATATTCTTTCCTCGATACAGGCAGCTGGTAAAGCCTTCTTGATGGCAGATAATAAAGCAGGCTTTTTATTATATTGTATTAGTTTTATTTCCAACACATGTTGACTAATCTTGTTGATCCTAAATTTGCTTATTGATGTATCTGATGAGATCTATTCTGGTATAAGGAAAGAAAAAGAGGAGAATGAGCCATCTATTAAACATAAATCCATGAGACAAGAGATTATTGCTGCTTTGAGATTTTTGTCCTGATGAAATAACTAAAATATATAGAGAGGGATAGAATACAACATAAGGTAAAGACTTGGTCTTTGAGTTAGGTCAACTTACATTGAATCCTGGCTTACTCTGTTGTGAGCAAGTTACTTACTCTATCTACAGCTCAGTTTTCTCATCTGTAAAATGAAAATAGTTCAGCCTTCCTTCTGGATTCATGTGATGCTAAATAAAAGGAAAAAACTATATATAAATTCTTATCATTGGACCTGGTACATAGTAAATATGCAATAAACATGGCTGGGTTTTTTTAGTGTTTTTATTCTTCTCATTAGAATTAGTTTCCTTCCCTTTTATCCTAGCATGATATGGATGTTTAAGCTTTCATAACATAGAACAAGACTAGCAAAGGTCTCTTAAATATACAATAATAATAAATTAGCTGGGAGCTCTGGTAGCGTAGTGCCTAAGGCACTTGACTGCTAATCAGAAGGCTGGCGATTCAAACCTACTAGCCGCTCCTCAGAAGGAAGATGAGGCAATCTACTTCCATAGTGATACTGCCTCAGAAATTGAAGGAGAGGTAGCTATGAGTTGGGTCCGACCTGACGGCACATAACAACAACACAATAAATTAGCTATTAAGAATTAAAATCATGTTTCCTGTCCAGGAAATATTGTTTGTTTGTTTTTTTCTTCCTTCACAATTAAATTGTTGCTCCTGGCCTGTGATTATTATTGCCATCCACTGTACACTGATTACCTTTTCGATTGTCTCCTTTGCTAGATACTTAATATCTTATATGGTTTCAGCAGTCCCATATTTTATATAAAAACCACTTGCCTTTGAGTCAACTCAAACTCATGGCAATTGCATGTATGTCAAAGTAGAATTTCTCCATAGAGTTTTCAATAATTGACTTTTCACTAAGCTATTCTTCCAAGAGCCTTTGGGTGAACTTGAACCTCCAACATTTTGGATAGCAGATGAGCACATTAACTGTTTGCATCACCCAGGGAGTCCTATACATTACAAACAAAGAGCTCAATAAAATCCGTTCCACCAGCTTTTGAAATTAAAAAAAAAAAGGTAATGTTTTAATGTTTGATAGGATACCGTGAACCAATCGACCCATAAATCAGCATACAACAAACTATATTTGGTACACACTAGACATGTTTAAAAGAGGCCAACGCTTTAGAATGATCTACAAACAAACTGTATATGTGTGTTTGTTACAGATTTGCCGCAAACTAAATGGCATTCGTTTCACCTGCTGTAAAAGTGCCAAAGACAGGACATCAATGTCAGTAACACTTGAACAGTGTTCAATTTTGAGAGATGAGCACCAGTTGCACAAGGACTTCTTTATCCGGGCCCTGGATTGCATGCGAAGGTATTCCATATGTCTTCATCTTTATTCTTTTCAAGGCTATTTTTGGTTTTCTTTATTTCAATACTTGTTTTATTGGAGGACTAAACAATTAGTCATTTTATTGTATTTCCATGGCTTATAGTTCATAGCATGCATGATGAAATGATTTTAAGTATTCCTCCTACTCATTTTAGGTAATTTAAAAAAATGGCTGTAATTTGATATTTTTGAGGACATATTTCATTAACTTATTTAAACTCAAGTTAAAAGGGCTCTGGACATTTCACAGATGAAAATTGAGAAGTACATGTCTTTGAAATGTAAGCTATGAGTGTGCACAAAATACATTTAAGTCATTATCAAAACAAAGCCTTTCCAAATTGTACCTAATAGGTGATCAATTTTCCCGTGGCTTATAGGGTCTTTGGGTCCAGTACCTTCCCTTCTAAAGTTATTTTCACATCACTCATTGTAAAAATGGGATGACACTGGTACTTTAAGATAGCAAATGAAAATTGTTTCTCTGCAGACATTTAAAATGCTATGCCTGAAGTCAAGTTTCTTGATTCATTTCCACAGTAATTAAATCTAAAGTATAAGCCATAATGGGAAGGAAAAAGCGCCTCATTCACAATGTCTGTCAGCAAGGGCACACGTTAATTAAAAAGTTAAGCAAAATTGTCTCTTTGCTACAAAGATGGACTCACGCCCACCAGCACAAGATAGGCTCCCTGTTCCCAGCAAGGAATGTCGTGGAACACCCTAAAGGGGAATGCTTCTTATCTGGCATGTCATTAGCTTCCACTTTCCTTTTAATATCTGCAGGCTTTCAGTGGGGACAGGTGAAGTTTGCCTGCATTCATTCTATGTCTGTATGTTTCCCACTAATGAGAGGTTTCTGAAGTCCTCTATTTTATCCCATTTCATGTCTCTTGGCATTTTCACTGCTCAGTGGAGTTCTCTCTTAATTTTCGATAAATGTATGAGGCTGCCTTAGATGTCTGACATGAACATTTCAGCTATATAAATCATATTTGGTTGATAGAGAAAACTTCTTTCAAAATAACCTCTCAACACTAACTGAAGAAAAATTTAGAATGAGTGTATAAAATTTTCAAAGGTTGATAAAAAGAATACAAATGATGGAACAAAGGTTCTTGATGAGGTGAGCTGGGGCACGTGATGTTATGGGACAGATAGACCAGAGGACTAAAACTAATGAACTAAGATAAACCGTCTGGACTGCGAAAGTGCTACTTGTTTATTTAAGTTAGAGGTAGAGAGGAGCAAAAACCAAACTCACTGCCTTCGAGTCCGATCTGACTCATAGTGACCCCTCCTCGGGTTTCTGAGGCAATGTTGTCCAACCTTCCTTCCAAGGAGCGGCTGATGGGTTTGATCCACCAGCCTTCTGATTAGCAGTCAAATGCCTTAGACACTATGCCACCAGAGCTCCAGAGCTCCTGGAGGTAGAAAGAACCCTTAAATTAGATAATTCCTACTTAACAAAAAAAAAAAAAAAAACTAGTAAATAAAGAGTAGATCTGTCATATGCATGTTAACCTGTAAACCACATATTTCTGCATTGAAGAAAGGTTATCCAGAACTGATAACATTTTATACAACACATTTGTTCATGACATAGCATATAAGAGAGTTTTATTTTTATTTAATTTTTAAAGTGCTAGAAATTTAATCTAAAAACACTAAAGAGCTTAACTTCCATATCTGCATTACTCTAGTGATTTTTTTTTTACTGTAAATTTCAAATCTTTCATTTATCCTCTGGGTTTGTGTATGTGTGTGTGTGTGTGCTGTGTAAGAATATGAAAGTTTGTCTTTGTATGTGTGTGTGTGTGTGCACACGGTGTAAAGAAAATAAAATGTATTATTTTCTTTAATTACTCACTTCTTTCCCTCTTTGGATATTCCCTCACACAACACAAGCTCTTAGGTTTATAAGCACAGGCAACATAGTATAGTGAATAAGAGCATGGGCTTGGGAGCCAGCTGATCTGTGTTTGAAGCTACATTATTATCTGCTACATATGCTGTGAGCAAGTTAGTTATCTTACTATCTCTTAGTGCCTTAGACAAGTTAGTTAACCTCTTAACTGGTGTCTCAGTTTCCTCATCTGAAAAACAGTGATGATAATAATAGTAGCTACTACTAAGGAATGTCTTGAGGATGAAATGAATTGATACGTAGAAAGAAAAATGTTTGGCACACAGTTATCACTATATAAGGAATCCTTGCATGGTGTAACTAGTTAATGCTCTTATCTATCAACCAAAGCATAGGAGGTTCAAGTTTACCCAGTGGCACCTGGGAAGAAAGACCAGGTGATCCACTTGTCAAAAATCAGCCATTGAAAACCCTATGGGGCACAATTCTCTTTGACACAGGTGGCTGCCTTGAATCAAAATTGACTCGTTGAGAACTGGTTGTTTAATCACTGTTTAATATTTGTTAAATTAATAAAAGGTAAATATTGAGGGCATGGTGATCTTCCAGGTACAGTAGTAAACACTAGCTAATTATGAGCTCTGTAATTTTGTGTTTGTGACTATATCACAGCAATGAGGTTTGACCCTAATGCCATATATTAACACAACGTCTCCTGGCAACTTGTATAAATAAATCTTCAAATGCAATGTTTTAACTATTTTAGAAAACATGTTTTTCAAAAACTACTTTACATATGTTTACAAATTCTGTGCTAATTACGGATGGATTCCATTTGTTCATTAAAGTAGGCCAGGATAGGTTTCTTATAAACATTTTTATATATTAATATGTACATTGTGTACACTTAAAAATAGAGAATTTAAGATCAAGAAGTCACCTTAGAGATTTAGTTAAATCCTCTTAATCTTATAAATAATATTGATGTGTAGAAAATACTTAGGAGCTCTGATAGTGCAGTGGTTAAAATATTTGCCTGCTAACCAAAAGGCTGCCAGTTTGAACCTACTAGTTATAGAACAGGAGAAAGATGAAGCAGTCTGCTTCTGGAAAGATTTGCGGCCTTGGAAACCCTGTAGAGCAGTTCTACTGTGTCCTATAGGGTTGTTATGAATCAGAATTGACTCAGTGGCAGTGGGTTTTGGTTAGAGAATGTTTTGGCAAAGATTATTCAGCAAGTATTTGGAATCCCTGGGTGGTGCAAA